AAATTTTCTTCACAAACCTCTTTTCCTTGTCATGCTTTTTTGACGACGAGCCAGGTCTATCCAGACTCTTCCTTGCTGATTTTTCTTCTAAAAATTTAAAAAAACATTAAAAATTTTCCCGAAAAAAATTTAAAAAAAAACCGGCAGCCAAAGCTAAAGTTCTTTTTCTTCCACCCAAAACTTCTTCAGCATATTCATCTGGATCTGATGTTTGAAAAGGTGTTTTTCCTGGTCCAAAATCCATTTTTAAAAGATTTTCTAATTCTCTACGCCTTCCTTTTGGTGGTTTATCTTCAATTTTTGATGACGACATTTTTTTCAATTTTCTATTTGGTGGTGATTTTGAAAATGATGAAGAATTATCTTTTCCAACACCTCCTTCTGAAGAAGATGTAGATTGTTTTCTTTGTCGTTTCTTTGATTTGCTGCTGCTAGTATTTGATTCAGCTGATGAGGAAGAATTATTTTTATTTGACGTTGATAATGATTTTTCTTCTTTTTCTGAACGAAAAAAATTTTTTTGATTAAAAAGAAGTCAAACGCGAAGATTAAAAAAGTGAACAATCAGATTTCGGATCCTCGCTTACTTTTTCCAGGGACCAATGTTCTTAAGGATTACCCAAAAAATTAAAAAAAAATTTCTTGATTGTAAATTAATTAAAAATGTCAAACGCCAAGGATAACAAAGAAAAAGAATAATCAGTCAATTTTAAATAGGCAATACTCGTTCAAAAAATCAATAATTTCAATAACCTCTCTACCCCACTTATAAAATCAATCGATTTTGAAATCTTTTACAGAAAAAAAATAATTAAGAAACCTTCATTTCCATTTTCATTTGTTGTCGCTGTTGTGGCATCATTTTTATTTTTTCTTTGGTTAATAACATTTTCATCTATAACCAACTTTTCCAACAACTTTTGATGTTCACAAGGAAATGGCTCAACATCTTCCTTTAAAAAAATTTTCTTAAAGAAAAATTTAAAAAAATTGAGTGTAAGGAGGGGTAGTACGAAAGGCGGCAAGAGGAGATCGTAAACTTTAACAGGTTTAATTAATGGCCTTGGATTTTGCGCTTAACCTTATTCAAAGAAAGTGAAGGGAAGATCCAGGAGGCGTTTAAGCTGGGGCCAAAAACTACAAAGAAACAATAGCCGGGACTCTGAAACCATAGTAGTTTTATTAACAGTAGCAGGCTTATTTCCTGCCCTTGTGTTAAATTGTCGTGTTTAACCTTATCCCGAGATATAAATTATAAAAAGAAATTCTTTCAAAAAAACCTCAATTTTAAACCCATCAATATCATGAACAAGTGGCCCATACTTCTTTCCATTCGAGTCAAACATCTTTTCACGAATTATTTTTGCTTCTTTTTGAAAAACATTTTCTATTGATTTTGTGCCACTACCACTACTTGGAGGTTCAGAAGTAATTTCTTGAATAATTAAAATTTTTATCATTAAAAAATGTTTAAAATACCTCCTCCTCTACAAAGCACTGGTGGAGGTTCATTTTCTTCTTCATCAAAACCTTGTTGCTGTTGACCATGTTGTTGACCTTGTTGGTGTAGTATTATAGTTCCATCAAAATGAGGTATTTTAGGGTGTTTTTGAGTTTCTTTGTGAAATTTTTTTTAATTTCAAAAAAATTTTTATTAAAAATTTACCATTGTCGGCAGTCAAAATATCACCACTTCCCTTCTTTTTCCTAACTCTTGTTGGTTTTGTTTGTTGTTGTTGTCCTCCTTTTCCTAATTCAATTTTCTTTTCGCCAACATCAACAGAATTATTATTAGAAATATATAAATTTCCTTGTTGTTGTTTTTGTTGTAACATAAATACTTGATGTAAATATTGCGCATGTGGACTACTATTACCATAAAAAATATTTTCACCATGTTGTTGATTTGTAAGCATAATATTGGAACTTTGTTGAATGGAAGGAGTCGAAGAAACCTTCAATTTTTAAAAATAAAAAAGAGGTGATGATTTTTTCCCCTAATGATGATTTTACTGAACCCGACAACAAAATTGACAAAAACCGCTAAAATTTTTGGCCCTAAAAAGAGCAGGGTCCGACCCTAATTTATTATAGGATCGGGCATATCCTCCGGACATTTAATTGAAACCGCCTCCGAACTTGACAAAAGCCAACAAGATTTCTGACCCAGCAAAGTCAAAATTCACTCTACTTATTATTTAATTAATTTAAAAACCGTGATTTCTCCTGATGGCGTTGCTGTTGTATTTGTAGTAATCGAAGAAACAATTGTTGCTGTTGTTGTTGATGTCCTCCCTCTTGATGAAATTTTAGGTAAAATATTTGGCATTGTTGTTGTTCCTCCTGAAGGTTTTGATGCAAGAACAACAAATTTTGATGAAGCAGAAGAAATTGGAGTTAAATTAGTTGAAGTTATAGGCAAAAAAGTTTGTTGCTGTGGTTGTTGAGATTGAGGAATTCCAATAATATTTGGATTTGAAATAGCTTAAAAAAGATTTAAAGTTTAAAAAATTTTCAAAAATTCATACGCATAAACATTCCATTTCCAGTATGAAAAAATAAATTTCTAGCTGTCATCAAATTTGCTGTTGTTAGTGTTTGAGGTGGAGCAACGCCGCCAATTTTTGTTGGTGATGACGACATAGTAACTTGCTGGTTTTGTTGTTGCTGTGACTGATCAAATGTTTGTTGTTGTATTAATTGGCCCGATGAATCAATTTGTTGCACTGGAGAAAAAAATATTTGCTGAGGCATTATTTGAACAAATTGCTGTGGTTGTTGCTGTTGTCCAGAAACATTTCCAATAGGTGCAGCAGAAGAAGGTTGCTAAAATTTATAAATTTTTCTCAAAAAAAATTTAAACCTGTCTAATTACAAAATTAGTTCCATAATTAGAAAATAAATTTCCATTAGACGCCTAAAAATAAAATTTTTTAATTTAAAAAAATTATAAAAAATACCAAGGCAAATTGAGAATTTGAAGGAAGCAACATTCCCGTAGAAGGAAAAGTTTGTTGACCGTTCGAATTACAAATTGATGCTGCTGTTGGTGGTGTTGTATCAGCAACAACATTGCTTTCCAGTGGGATAGATGCAATTTGAGCCTAATACAATAAAAAAATGAATTTTATTTTTCGAGAAGGGTAATTCATGAATAAGAAAAAAAATTTAAGAAAACCTGTGGAGGACTCGCTCCAAAAATTTGCGGAGAAATACAAGGCACAGCAACTGCAGGCTGTATTTTTACAGGATTTTTCCTTTGTTCATCAACAAGTATTTTTGGTTTTATTGGAGCTTTCTTTTTTGGTTGTTTTGGCTTAGTTAATGGCAAATTTGTTGTTGTTGATGAGGTTAAAGTTGAGGACATTAACGCTTTTGTTGAAGTACTTTCTTCCAAATTTGTAGGAGAAATATCTGCTCCAGAAGCAACTTTATTTACTGTGTTTGTCAATAAATCGTTAGAATCCAATAGAGGGGAAGATGAAGAAAATTGATTTGCTAGAAAAAAATTTTTTTGAAATTTCTTTGAAATTAAAAAAATTTTTTTTACAATTAATTGAAGAAGAACAAGACATTTTTGATGAATCTTCAAATAAATTTAAATTATTTGACGTTGTTGTTGGAGCAATTAATTGATTAGGTCTTTTTATCGGAGATTTTTTATTATTTTTTGGAGGAGTTATACACAAAGGTGGAGGTTGTATTTGAGTTGAAGATGTTGTGGTTATTGCTGGAGAAGCTGATGAAGAAGAAATTGTTGTTCTAATGCTAAATTGATTTTTTTAAGTAAAAATGAGTCTTTCAAGTAGATACATCACGCGAGGTAGAAAATCAATTAAATGAAGTGATATCTTATAATACAGGGTATCGCTTAGGCCCTCCCACCCTCCTTCGTAAAGGCCAAAAAAACTTTAAAAAACATCTAGAACCTCGTTTGTTTAAAATTTAATATTGTAATTCTAGGAAAAGATTGAATTTAATTGTTAAGTGGGATAATTTTAGGATTTTCTGAAAACAAAACAAAATTTTTCAGAAAATTATCCCACTTAACCAAACCTACGGGTATGGTTAAATTAAAATTTCTTAGTTAAGTGGGATAATTTCAAAATTATCATGACCCAAGGATTTTCCCAATTTAATGAAGTCCAAAAAAGTAAATAAATAAACCTTTTATTATTGTTATCCATAATTCCAACACCACCAACAACACTTGAAATTGGAGCAGGTTTAAGAGTAAAAACAATTTTTGGTGCTGTTGTTAACGACCCACAAGTTGTTGTTGAAATATTTTTTGATGATTGTGAATTAATTGAAGTTTGTATAATAATTGGAGATGAAGAATTTGATGAATTATTTGAAGAAGAACCACCAACATTTGAAGACATTTCAACTAATTTTGATGTATTTATTTTAACTGAAGGTGCAGAAAAAATTGTTGATGTTTTTGTTGTTTTATTTTCTTGTATTAAAGCTTTTGTTGAAGCTGGGTTTAATGAATAGGGGGAAATTCCTGACATTGTTGCTGAAAAGTTAAAAAGGGGAATAAATTTAATGGTATGATATTGGAGTGGATAAAAATCCTTAACGAATTTTTCTAATTTTTAGAGAAGGAAGATTTTATACTAAAAAATTTTTTTGAAAAAATTTTGAGGATGATGACATTTTATCCCATTATTAAAAGCAGGATTTTCTATCAGAAAAATCTTAAGGATACACAAAAAATAGACTCAGGCGAGACCCATAATTAAAAAATCGAGAAAAAATTTTCAAAAAAAACCTTGAGGAATTTGTTGAGTAATATTTTTGCCATTCTCGTTATTTGAAGAAGGTACCACTTGATGATGTATAGGAATTAACTTTGGTTTTGCTGATTTAGGTGCAATTCTAGCAACTGGTGGAGGTTGTATACTCATTTTACGTAAAGTTACTTGATGAGAATTATTTATATTGATATTTTTTGTAGTTGTAAGGGAGCTGGAAAAGTAAGAATTTTAATAAATTATTGAAACACAGGAACAAATATGGATCAATCGTCGAAAAGTGAAATTAGGAAAGATTACATTTGATCCCATTATTAAAAAGAATAACCCGCTATGAGAAACCTTAAAGGATAAAACAGTGCTTAAGAAATTAATTCAATAATTTTTGTTGTAAGGAAAAATAGAGTCCATCGCCAAAAAAGGAAATTCCTGACAGACGACATTTTATCCCACTCTTAAAAAAATGGAATTTCCTTACGGAAAAATCTCAAATAAAAGAAATAAAAACCTATTTTTGTTCGAACCAGACTGAAAAGAACAAATCGTCACCGCAGTACTTGCAACACAAGCTGTTGGCGTATTCGAAGGAACAGAACACTAAAAAAATATTTTTTCCAATTCTCAATAAAAAAAAGAAACCTCCAAGCCTTGTTTATTTTTATCACTTGCCAAATATTGATTATTTTCTGTTGCCACAACAAATCGAAGAGGTAAATGATTTGAAGATTTGATTGTTGTATTTAATTCTGATGAAGAACAAATTTTGTCTAAAATGAAAGAAAGTGTTGAAGAAACGCATTTATCGGTGTCATCATCATCCCTTTGTTTACAAGCATTTTTATTTGTTGTAGAAATGGTCAAGTTATCCATATATTTAAAAAAATAAAATTTTTTCTCTAAAAAAACTTTTTTTATTGTTTTTTTTGCACACACACACATGTACAGTTGCTCAACTAAAAAACCTACACACAAAAACAAGCCAAAAATGTCTTTCAAAAAAAATTATTTTTAAATAGCCATCCATCCCCCACTAGTCAATATGTCGTATAAAATAGAGAAAAATAATCTTTTTTTATATTTGCTAAGGGGGGGGGGGGGGGGGGGGGATTGACTGGGGGAGAGGATGTGAAGGACACCAGTCCTTACAGCTCTTATTTTTCAAATTATTTGTGCGTGTGCAAAAAAAAGTAGCCAATCAGCAAAAGAGCGCTTGTCTAACACAAATAAATTTTTAAGATGCTGAAAAATTGTTTTTAAAAAAATTATGTTGAGAAAGTAATGTTTGAAAAAGTAAATTCGCACATTTACGAATATAAAAAGAGGAAAAGTAAAGAAAAAAACTTGAATATATCCAATTTTCAAAAATTCATAAAAATAACGAGAAAGGGCAAAAAATAAGTTAATTTAAAAAATTAAAGAAAATCAAGTAGATTTCACTGGGATGATCTGTTCCATTTCTTCAATTTTTGTGTTGTCAATTTCTTAAAAAAATTGAAAAACGTAATTGGATTGTTGATGGACGTTTGACCAAACCGGACCCAAAAACCTGAGGCCGGAAAACGGTGATATCCGTAAAAAACGGAGACCAAACCCGGCCAGTTTCGGCTTTTAAAAGTACACCCCCTAAAGATGATCATTTGGAATTTATAGGACAGTTGAACTCCCCAAATCCCTATTAACTAAATCCCTAGATAAAAACCCTAACAACCCCATTAAATAATTAACCAAAAATCTAATTTAAAAAACCTCTTACTCGAAATTTTGTCAAACAAAGGTGTCACTTTTTCAAATAAATTTTTTTCCAATATTTGACCTCCTCCAATTTTCAAAAATTCGTAAAAATAATGAGAAAGGGCCAAAAATAAATTTGCATTTTTTGAAGCATCAATAGATTGCTTGTCACATTCAATAACATATTCACATATAAAGGTACAGGCTTCTTGGCAATTTTTGCTTAAAAATGTTGCGCTGGAAAAGAATTAAATATAAACGAAAACTTTGATTGTAACGTAGAAAAAAGATGGTCTTTTTAAAAAAAAAGCCCAGGCAAGGGGTAGACGTTAGGTTTAATTTATTGACTTGACAATAACTGGAGTTCTCAGGAAAAAACCAAAAACTCTAAGAGTCCAACAAGGTAGGGCAAAGTCTGTAGTAAACTTGATCCATTGACATGAGTTTGATCCTTAGTTAGGAGACCAGGAAAAGGAAGTCCAACAAAGGCAGAAAAAAGGAAGTCGAACAATAAGATTCCTATCCGTTGTTCAGGAAAATTAAAAGACAACGTTCGCTAGAAGATTCGAAAATTTCTTGGACACCTTGGAGTCAAAAACCCCCAATACAGAACGTCGTACTATAAAATTCAAAAATGCTTGGACCTAGAATTCAAATCCAACCACTAATAAAAAGAAAGAATTTAACAAAACCTACTCATCATCCCCAAGCCAATCTGCATCATCTTCCACACATCCAATAAAAAATTCTTGTAAATGAAGACAAGCAATAAGTTGGTCAATATCAACCTCAAAAAAATTTTAATTTAAATTTTAAAAATCAAAAAAACTTTGTCGGGTTCATCCAAAATTACTCGAAGACGTCCACTCGATAGACTAGCCAAAAGTTTGAGAAATTTCAAATCGGAACGTAACCAATCATTTCCAAGAGTTTGAGAAGCAAAATTGCTCATTTCATAACTCAATCGAACGTAATCTTCTGCTGAAAATTTTGAAGGTTTTGTTAATTTTGTAACTACATGCCCCATTTAATCGCAAAACTAGACACAAGACCACTATCCAGGGATTTTTGACCCTTCCGAGTTCTGCCTTTAAATTTCTAAAATGCGAGAGGGCCGATCACTTATATTCACTCTAATTTGACTACACGACATTTAATCACAAGCGTGAAACGGTCAAAGTGCTCAAAATGAGAACGGCGAGGCGCTTGTTGCACGAGCCCATTCCCTGCGAATAAATAGGGCGTGAAGTTAAAGCAAATGGATTCATTAAAAGAAAACTTTACGTATTCCAAACGTTCTAAAAAGCCTTTGGAGAACAACACGCAAATCGGCAGGCCACGAAAGACTAACAAACCGCACTCTTTGCGAAGCCATTTCTTCAGGAGAAGAGCAAGCCAAACATTCCAAACACTGCCTAATTTGTCCAAGTAACTCAAGTTGAGGTAATTGTTGAGTGTCAGTTTTAATCATGGCGAGAATTGTGTTTAAGCTTGAATTGATATCATCCAAAAACCAATCATTTGAATAACCTTCTTCTTCCATTTGTTCTTTAAGAAATAGTCGAAAGAGGAGAAAATTTCTGAAAAAAATTTAAAAAAGAATGGCATCTGTGGGTTATCCCAAAACAGTTTTTACGGGTATATTTGTGCGGACTCATAAGCATAAAGGCCTCATAATGGTCAGTGGATCAATTCCCGCCTTACATTTAATAAAAAAGTATTCGAAGTGACGACTGCTTGAAGGAAATATTAGGAGCTTGAACGGTCTTCCTCTTTAATCTGACCATTATGAGTCCGCAACAATGTTCACGAAAAAAGGTTGGGATAGCCCACAAGTCAAAATTAATTTAAATATTTATAGGTTAAAAATCCATCAAAAGTCAAAAAAATCTTTAAAACATTTATAAATAATTTACAAATAAAATTACCAGATTTTTTAAATAATTTTTTTCAACATTTTTAAAAATACGAAAATGTATTTTCTCTAGAAAGACGATATTCTTTTAACATATAATATCGTTCATCATCCTTCTATCCTCTTCCAAACATTTACTTCTCACTCTTTGAAGATCCTGAAGTAGTTCGTTCGCGTTCCTTCTCTTTGCGCTTCTCTTCACCGTTTGAGGCATTTTCTGGGAAAGTTGAAATTTAAAAACATAAGAAAAATTAAAGAGTATACCAACAATACGGCGAGTATCACCTTCCGGATGTGCATGTTTATGTTCAACCTAAAATATTAAAATGTTAAGTCTAAAAATTTGAGAGGAAATCCAGTGAGGCAAAAATTGCCATGTCCATGTGACAAGAACATTGAATATTTCCAAGGGTTAGTTAAGGGCCTGATTTTCCCCGTAAAATAGATCCCCAAGACCAATGGTCACCAAACCATCCAATTAACTATTTTATCAATAATCTACCATAAAACAAAAACAAGGGTTTTTAATGAAAACAATTTTTGGTCAAACCAGACAAACCAGAAGTCAACCAAACCATAAGTCAACACTATTCATGCCCATGACCTGTCCCAAACCCAACCTAACACACCCTTTAAAAAACAAAAAACCTGTTCCGCCTTCGAACGCTTTCCTTTGGTACCCTTTGGAACTTCGTCGATTTCACCACTAAAAACAAATACATTTATCTATATTAACTATAAAAAAACCGTTCATATTCATTAGCCAGATCAGCTGCAGACGAAGACATTTTTTGAAAAATCTAAACTTTTGCTTTGTAATAAATCTAAAAATTAACAAAAGATTAACTGATTAATATTACGAAATGAAGTGAAAAGAATAAACAAAGGGAAAGTAAAAGAATAAACAAAAGAAAATTAATCAATTAATTGGAAAACAACAAAAAATCGTTTTTTTCTCCTACCATGCTATTTCTTCATTAAAGGAAAAAAGCGAGTCTTCACATTTTGCCAAAACCACATTTTGCCAATAAAGGCAAATATACACATTTTGCCAACAGAATTATTGGCAAAACGTTACTTTTTAGCCGTTTTGGCAAGATATGGTTTTGGCGAAATGTGTAAGGCAAAAAAGGATGAAATGTCATTTATAAGGCATAAACATAACGCCACACTTTTTAATTTTCAAATTAATATCGTAAGTCACATTTGGCCAATTTTCAAATTTTGCCCAAAACTAAAATTTAAAAACTTAGCCCACCCTTTGTCCAAAAATCGGTTTTTAATCATTTCAGAGCCTTTAGTTAATTAAATCCCTGAACTTATTATTGTACATTTTTGACATCAATTTGCAACAAAAATCTGAAAAAATGAAGGCAAAAAGATCAATTTCCTTAACTGATATGGATAATTATTACGAATTGAATGACGACGATAAATAGTTGAGTTTTTGAATTTAACTAAAAATTTAAATTTTTCCTTTTAAGCAAAGCCGAAGAAAGATATCTTAAAAAGACTAAAGGAGGAAAACATTCAAAAGCAGAAAAAGCTCAAAAAAGTTTGGCACTCAAGAGGGAATGGAAAACAATAGTAAATGAAGAAACTTTGTTCAACAATGTTTAAAAAGAAACAAAAAGTTTGTGTAAATATTTTAATTTATTTTTACAAATATTTTTCTTTGAGATCTCTATATTTTTTTACATTAAAAAAATTTTTTTATATTAAAAAAATAAACCTTAAATACACACTAACTAAAGCCCTTCTTTATTAGAAGTCCGTATCTAAAATATAAGCTTACTCAAGGTGGCGTCAATTGAAAAATTAAAACCCACTCTCTAACAGAAGCCCATATTTAATACAAGAGCCCTCTAAGGAGGTCAGTCTATTGAAAAATAAACGCCCACTCTCTAATAGAAGCCTAAGCCCACTAAAAGCGACTAATTGAAAAATACAAGTCCAGGGCTTTAATTAGAGCATTTAAGGTCTTTATATAGAATGTATTAGTCCTATTTTTTACAGTTATTTATTAGTCTCCCGTACTTGTATGAAATTTACTGCTAGCAATAATTGCTGCTTGTTTATGTTGATGACCCCCACCATTTTTATTGTCCAAACGACGACTCTTTTCTCCTAACATTTTCAAAATTTTATTTAAAAATTCCCTTTAAATTTTACCATTCTCCACCATAGCCTCATCATTACCTCCCAAAGAAAGTCTATCAACACAATGTTCAATCATCCATTTTGCTGTAGCTGCTGCTTTTGAACTTCTTCCACTAACAATTCCTCCACCTCCTTTTTGGTGTTTATTATTATTTGTAGTAGATAAAGGTTGATCATCATCCCACATACTTCCTCCTTCTTCTGACCTTAACAATTCTTCATCCTCGTCTTCCTCCAATTCTCCTTCTTCTTCACCTCCACTACTTTCTATTGTTGTTGATGTATTTGTTGTTATTGGTAAATGTCCAGTATTATTATTATTGTTATTTGCCGCTAATCCAGTCAAACTTTAAAAAAAGGAAAATTTTTTGAAGATTTTTGAAATTTCCAAAAAAAATCCGCATCTTTTTATTCGCAAGTTCAAATTTTTTAAATTTTTCTCAAAAAAAATTTTTGAGGTAGAGAATAAACAAATTTTTAAACTTCAATTAATCTTGAAAACATCCCTTTACCCCTTTAAAATAATTCTTTTAAAGAAAACCAAAAAAAAGTAAGACTCGAGGACAAAAAGTTGCGCGGATTTCACGGAACACAACCCCGACAAGGACCCAAAAAAATTTAAATCAACTATTTTATACTCTTGTTCAACTAACCTATCGCCCCAACAATTTCCTTTTTCATTTACTCCCCTTTCTCATAAAAATTATAAATGGTCAATGACTCATAATGGTCAGACAAAATTATTAAAATTTAAACCCTTTAGTAGCTTTCGACGATTGTGTTTGCTGCTTTTGTTGTTTCCTCTGTGCTGCTTTCAATAAAAGAGCCATACAAGCTGTCCGATGAAATGTTCTAGCATCATCCAAAGCTGTCCGTCCCCAACGATCACGAATAGTTTGGTCAACTTTTGCAATTTGTAAAAGAAATCTTAAAATAACTGTTTGTCCTTCAGAAGCAGCTAAATGGAGGGCTGTACGTCCATCATAATCAACAATATTTAAATTCATTCCTTGAAGATGAAGTCTGAAAAAGGGAAAATTTTTTAGAAGAATAGAGACAGACGAACCTAACTTTTAGACACCCCCTTTTAGGACTAAAAAAATAGACACCTTATAATGAAGTGTACCTTAAATTGGAGGGTGATTTGATCTCCTTTTCTGCACATAATGGGCTAATCAAATTTCAAAAAAATTTTAATTTTGATACCCCCAGGAAAAATTACACCTTATAATGAAGTGTACCTTACATTTTAGGGTGTGCCTTGATCTCCTTTCCTATACCCAATGGCTAATCAAAAATTTTTTTTTTACTTTTGATACCCCCAGATTTTTTAGCTATTTAATTGGACATTGGTTGGAGGAAGGAAGCCTCGTAAGCGATACCCTACAATTTAGGTTACATCTCATTATAAGGTATGGTTTTTTCAGCTTAAGTGGGGGTATCCAAAAGTGAGGTTAGATTAAAATCTAAAAAATATATACTTTCTAACAGTCTCCAAGTCGCCATTTTTACAAGCAAATAATAAATTTACAACCTAATTTTTTTTAAATTTTCAAAAAAAATTTTCAAAAAAAACCAGGTCAGTTTCCTTATTTCCAATTCTCCTTCTAGGATCAATTTTCTTTGAATCAGCATGCAATAACGAGTCATAATTGTGAAAATTAAAAATATCAACCAATTTTTGACAAAATAGAACACCTCTAGTTGTATTTCCCATTCTGTCTAGTCGAGGAGAAAATAAACAAATACCCATTAAATTTGGAATTACCTTCAAAAAATAAGGGAAGATTAAGAGAAGAGATCTAACTTTATTAGATACTCAATGTAATAGATACCACTCAAAATATACGAAGAATCTAGGAGAGTTTTGTGGAATCTGGATAATGGAAGGTGTTGCTGACTAATAGTATAAGTATTGAGGGACTTTCTATTTAAACTCCCTTTCATATATTTTTCAACTTCACTAAGGAGTGGGTAGCCTAAAGTGATGCTTCGACCATAATTATATAAGATGCTTTTAGGAGGGTTTGGGAGGCCCCAATGGAAGGAAATACCTAAACATAATCACTGACAGACATTGATACCTCCTATAATTTACGAATATTTCAGCTCCAAAGTGTGGGCATCTTATAGTGAGGTTCCGATTTTAATTTAAAAATAAAAAAACCAAAATCATTCCACCAGAAACACCAGATTTTGCAGGTAACCCAACATCAAAAGCAAATTGTCCAGAATAATCATACATTCCACAGGAATACATTAAAGAAAGAACATCACGACATGCCCGACTTTGAATACATGGTTGGTCAGTTAATGAACAAACACCTCCATTAGCTAAAGTAGCTGCCATTACCTTAAAGAAAATTCAAGAAAAAAATTTTTTAAATTAAAGAAATACAGCAGCAGCCTCGCAATTAGTTTCCAAAGAACACAATTGAAAATAAAAATCCAATTCATCTCGAATACTTTCTATATCAGAAGGAAAACATTTATTTTCTTTCATATAGTAGGATAATGCATAATTTCTATCTGCTGTCTTTTTTTCTGACAAAAATCTGAAAAAAAATAAAAAATTTTAAAAATGTTTATAAGGAGTCCGGAGGGAAGAAGTTTCTCAGGCGATAGTTTAACATGAGGCGATCCTCAATATAAGAAAGTTCCTAAAAAATATGGAATTGATCCTAAACAAATTGGAGAGGGGAAAGGGAAGCTTTTCAGGTACGCTTTTTAAAGATACGCTTTTAGAATAAAAATGAATTGATCATCGACAAGGAAAGCCTCTCAAGCGATACCTCCCTATTTAAGACGCTCCTCATTAAAAAAAAATTTTCAGCCCGCCCATAGCACGGCACGATTTTTAAAAATCTACAAAATAAAAAAAAATAAATACGTTGCATTGTTGAAGCCAATATACCCTCCACCAGCCAACTTTTTGTATTCATTCAATGCCTGAAAAAAAATTTATAAAAAAAAAATTCTAGAAAAATTCATACAAAATCGTATCTATCAGCCATAGGCAAGCCTTTCTTCATTAAAGACGTGACAATTATAGCCCCAGAATTAATCATTGGATTGTGAGGTTTTCCGCTTGAATCAAGACAAATTTCATTAAAAAGCCTTCCAGAAGGTTCGTGTCCAACAAAAGAATGCACATAATCACCCAAAATTGAGGCGACAATTGCATAATTGAATGCCTTTGAAACTGATTGAAAACACCAAGGAAAAAGAGAATCGCCTAGAGAAAAGCGTTGTCCATCTATTGTGCAAATTGAAAGTCCCCACTGGAAAAAGGAAAGAAAATTTTTTAAAAAATTCAGACCTTATCTCTAGGTAGTCCTTTTGGGGCGGAAAAATCATATCTTATAGTAAGGTGTATCTTAAATTCTCAAACACCTACCTCTACACTAACAATTTCACCCATATCACAACTTAAACAGGCAACTCCCTCCCCACTAAGACCCCATAAGGAAACTCCTTTCCTACATCTCACACTACTCACATCAGACAATTCCCTCTACACATGTAGCTCCCCCTACATCTCCCTCCACCTAAAGGTTATAAAGGTTAACTAAATCTAAAAAACCATAATCTAATATGTATGAGGAGAACCTAATTTCGGAGGTCTCTAAAAGTGAAGCCCAACAAGGATTTGAACAAAAAAATTTTATTATACTCGATTCGGGTCTGCCCTAGCCAATTGAGGAATATACGTTGCAACATCTCCACCTTCCTCTGACCGACACTGAAAAGAAGAATTGTAAAAAATCCAAAAAACTAAAAAAACCTCTTCAAAAATTTCTCTAATTTTAGCAGTAAATTCTGTCCAATTTGGTATAATTAATTGATTACGAAGTGCACGAGAAACCAAATCAATGCATGGACGGACACAACTAAAAATTTTTTTTGGATTACTTTTTTATTTTTACAAGCAGGAAGACACTATTACCAAGAAGATTTTAAATTTTTAGAGGCATAAACAAGCTTGATCTGACAGGAAAACCTTGTTACAGTCAAAACTCGCTCGTAATTATAACCCTTGGAGTTCTAAAAAATTTATGAGAGGATCCTAAATAAAGTGTATCGGTTAAGCAGTATAAATATGGTGAGGAAGTATTTATACTGCTTAACCGATACACTTACACAATGGCCAACCGGTTTAAAAAATTCCTGAAAGTAAGACCGTTTCTACCAACATTTTTTACAAATCGAAAACCTTTTTAAATTGGACCTTGAATATTCAAAAAACAAACGCTTTAAATTGTTCACGGCCCAAATGTCTACCAAAATGAAGCTCTTCCCCATGGACTTCCTCACCATATTTATTGGTTACTTTGTGCATTCCATCAACAGTAGTTGTTGTTGCTTCTGCATTATTTTCAATATCCAAACATTGCCGCATTTTTTCTAGCATGGGGGCTAGGCTGAAAAAATTTTTTTTTGAAATTTTTGGAAATTTTTTTAATTAACCGTTGATCATCAGAAGTAAGTCCAAAACCTCTGAGAGTCTAAAAAATAAATTTGAAAAATTATCAGAAAAAAAAATTAAAAAATTTCTCTTACATAAAGAAGTCTGCCAACATGTGCCTCATCTCGATGAGGAATTTTGAAAAGATCAAAAACCAAATCTTCAGGAGAATTTTGACGGTCACCAACTACAAAAGCTTCAGAATGAGGTAAACATGTTGGGGCTGTTGATTTCATATTTCTTTAAATGAAAATTTTTTTTATTTTTTTTAAGTCAGCAAAAATATTAATGTCAATGAATGCCCCTCAAAACTATTCTAAAAATTTTTTTAATAAAATAAATCCACGAGATAAATATTTTTGTGCTAATAACCTCCCCTCTCCCCCCAATTTTGCTAATCATAAGGACACTACAAAATCATAGGATTTTTTTTCAAAAATAAAAAAAGGCTTAAGAAAAGCTGCCACATATTTTCTCTCTCTTATTTTAGTCCCCCTTTCTCCCACTTAAAGAAAATATAAAAAAAGTGTGTTCATTTTAAAACCATTAAACTAAAATGCGTTTCTTTTAATACCCTTTTTATGAAAGGACAATCTGCGTCATGCGTAGCAAAAAAAAAATTTTTTTTAATTTTTAAAAAATACACGAGGGATTAGCTATTAATAGAAAGGAGAAAATATTTTTTTAAAGAATAAACAGAAGAGGAATTTTTAAAGAATTTTTGTAAAGTACCCCAAGTAGCTTTTTAAAGTCCCAAATAACAAAGACCCTTAGAACCTCCTAGAAAAAGGTACAGAGGAAAGGTCAAGTGATAAATGCCCCCCTAGTTAACCTATGAAAGCATAGAAATGCCTAGAAAAATTTTTTCAGGATCTTTTAAATCCCCCAGTGTACCCATGAAAACCTATAACGGCCTGGAAAGACAAAAAATAATAGCAAATACGTTTTCTAGCAGCAAACTAGCTGCATATAAAAAAATAAATGTAAATAAAAATAACCTTACTCTGTTGTATACTGCCGCTGCTTTAGCCATTTTCCAGTGAGTATGTGCCAATAAAAGTAAAATAATATCTTATAAATAAAGTCACAAATATTAAATAAAGCTATGTAGTAGTAGAATTTGTCCCTAAAACAAAAGAAAAAAATTTTTTAATAAAAAATTAAAAGTCTTCCGAAAAAATTTTTCCAAAAAATTTTGGTTTTTAAGTTCCGCAAGGGTTGAAAACACAATCGAATCTCAATAACCTCTTCAGTTTACACGTCTCTACTAAATACATACTTATACATTATTCGTCCCTATAGGGATGTACCTCGTCCCCGAAAGTCAGAGAATCTGAGAATCCCCCCCACACCCCGTGATGAAAGGAAAAATTCTCCAAAAATTTCCCCCGTGGCCCTCCGTCGGGGAACAAACCCCTCCTCCCTAAAACGCCTCCAAAATCCTTCCCCCGAGAGAGATATCCTACTGAAATTCGACTGTATTATGATTTTAACTTGCTAAATTATATAATTATTTTCCCTAATCAAACAAAAGATAATTTAGAATGCATTAGCAAAGCATTTTTAAATAGAAAAACATTTAAAAATAGTCCATATTTTACTTCAAATACATAAAAAAATTTTTTCAAAAAATAAAACAAAAATTCATTTTACATATATTTTTTATTCCTTTTAAATTTTTCTTCTCAATTTGGCGGCAAAGCATTTTGAATAAGTTCTTTTGCTGCTGGAGATATTGAATCAGGAAAGCGAACATCAAATTCAACAATTAAATCACCACGAATGTTGGTACGTGGATTTGGAAGGCCACGAGCTCTGACCCTAGAAAATAAAATTAATGTTAAGTTCATGAAGGATTTAAATAAATGGATTTTAGATAGTCAAATAAATGCTTGAAATCCAGACAGGAACATGCCTTAATACTAAACGTTGAAATACCAAACACCCAAAAGCATCCAGAATACCAAACTGTGGAAAAAACATAACTGGTATGGTCTAGTCACTTGAAAGGTCATTTCAAATCAAAGGTAAAAACAGACAAAGGTCAACGCTAAAGGTTGTTAACAATCCACATTTTGGTATTCTGGCATGTCTTTTAAGCAAGGCCATAACCAGGGGAAGAGAGAGGGGAATGCTGGTTACGGGCCTGCTTTTAGGAGTTTGATATTTCAACATTCGGTATTTAGACATCATACCAATCAATCTAAAATTGGACAATCTTGAGAAAATATCCTCCTCTAAAACCAAAAGATCCCCCAAATCCGGGAAATTTTTAACCAAAAAATAAAAAATTTTATACCGATGAGTAGACCCAGGCTTGACTATATTTGCAATCTTCAAAGGAATTGTATCACCTTCCAATGTAGGAATTCGTAAAGAAAGACCACAGAGGGCATCTCTCAATGGAATTGTGTGTTTATAACTAAAATTTTTTAAAAATTATTAAAAATAAAAAAAATCCAAATTAACCGAATGTCCGAATCTTCACGTTTAAATTTTGGATGTGGCTTGTCTTTAATAACAAAAATAATGTCAGCCGGCACACGATTTGGATAAACATCGCCTTCCTTTGGAAAAGTTATTTTTGTTCCATTCTTCCATCCAGGCTTGACATTAATTGTTAAATATTTGTCTTCAGTCCTAGAAGTGCCATCTGGGTTTACAATTTTTCTGAAAAAATTGAAACTTATTTAAATTAATTTTTTAAAAATTCTTATTTAATGTTAGGCTAACACCGTCTAACTAAAACACCGACAAGAAACAAAAAAGTCTAACGGACAAATTATTTCGGTCAAACATCAAACACCAACAAGAATTTAAAAAAACCCAGGCATATAAAGATTGAATTGACCGGTAAGCGACTATTGATTCTCCGAGCTTCTGAACAATATTATGGTCAGTCGATGTTAGACCCAAAACAGGTCAGTCGATGAAACACCGAAAACCGGTAAGATGATGGTTCACACAAACCCTGATTCACTAATAGATCACTCGATGTTTCACCCAAAAACATGCTAATCGGTGAAGCACCGAAAGACTGGACACAGTGTTCCAGTCCAAACCGCTAAAAACAAACAAAAAACCTCGTAATTTTCATCTTTTTTGTACATCCTTTACACAAATCTTCTAGACTAACAGGCAATTCATGGACTATTGCAGTATCTTGTTTAGGCCGTCTAGGCATTCCACCGCCATGTCCACCCATTCCTCCAAAACCACCAGGGAAACCGCTAAAGAGACCATCTCCAAAAACTACCTAAATTTTGAAATTTTAATCAGAAAATTTAAAAAAAAATAAAAAATACATCAGCATTGCCATTATCACCAAAAGTGAATTCAGTGAACATTCCATTTCCAAAAGCTTGTTGGAACATACGCATAGGGTCTCCCCTAAAGAAATTTACAGAAATCAGTTGTAAAATCGATCAAAAAAACTAACTGAAATGTATAATGGAAACCTCCAGGAACGCCGCCAGCTCCAGCAGGACCAGCACCGGCTCCACCATTAGCCAGGCCTTCCTCACCAAATTTATCGTAAACTTCCTTCTTTTTGGAATCAGACAAGACGTCGTATGCTTCAGCTATCTCCTAAATTAAATTTTTAAGAATTATTTATGTTTAAAGACAGGAAAACGAGACTAGATTCCGTGTGGGACTCGAAACGTTTTCATAAAACTTTATGTTATATTTCACATCGTTTTTGGCAATAAGGGGTGAGATCGAAAAAATTTGTCTTTCACAGGTCCACCTTTTTCTCGCTAGGTTTTTACCTTTGAATATACTGAAGGGTCAGACCTCTTCCTTCAGAATAAAAAGAAAAATTTTTTAAGGTCTCCCCCTTCTGTATATCTAATGAAAGCTTGGGCATGAAAAAGGGAGTCACAGTAAACAAAAATTTAACCTCGAAATAATTCCTAATCGAGTCCTTTACGGGAACATGATAACCACCAAGCTTTAAAAAACTCAAAAAAAACCTTAAATTTAGCTTCAGCACCAGCTTCTTTATTTTTATCCGGATGATATTTCAACGCCATCTTTCTATAAGCCTTCTTAATTTCATCGTCAGAAGCGCCTTTGGAAATTCCCAGAGTCTTGTAGTAATCCTTGCCCATTATATTGCTTGTAAAACAGAATTAAATAATTAAAAAGAGATCGAGAATATAAAGTTGCTTTGTAAAATCTAAAAAAAGAAGAGGGGGAGATTAATTAAAGTAAAAAAAAGAATATCAAATGATTTAAGCAAAACAAATGGATAAACCAAATAAAAATAGAAGCAAATTGCAAGAAAAAATTTGCTCCCAACTTGTACTTTGATATTCACTTTTTACAAAACACCAAATTTATACGAAAATGTCAGTGGAGAATTTGTGACATTTTACAAATTTTTCTTCTTTGTGGCGTTTTGTAAATCAGACATTTTGTCGCGAAGAAAAAAAAAACTTAAAATGGGATAAATTGTCATTTTTCTCCAACTTTGTGGAATTTTCTCGAATTTTTGAGAAGAAAAGGTTGGCATTCTGAAAAAAAATTTTTTTTGAATTTTTGTTCGAGTATCTCTTTATTTTTACTGTATCTTCGATCATTTATTTTGCTTGATCTGAGAATTTTTTTGACAACTTTTACCTAATTCCCCCTTATTTTTAGAAGAATAATGTCAGCAAAAAAGACAAATTCGTCAATTGATGTTAAACAAGAAGAAAAGAAAAATGAAAAACCAAAAATAGAACCAAAACCAATCGTTATAGTTGATGAAATTCCAGATATTGGAGAGAATGATGGAGATGTTAAGACTGCGATTAAAATGGAAATGGAGGATTTATCATTAACCAAAGTTACAACTGATAAAAAAGCTAAAAAGAAGAAAATGGTGTTTGTGGATTCAAAGGAAGTGCAGGTTTTTAGAATTATTTTTTTTGAGGTTTTAGGGTCCTTTTTTGGGTATAGATAACCAGAGAAAACTGATTTTCTTTATTAGGATTGGACATAGCCGGGTATTAACTGGTCCTCTGTTTTTCTGTTATCACCGGTTTTCATTTCTGGTTCCAGGGCTGTGACAACTGACAAGTCCCCCTGCCCCCTCCCACCGAAAAAATCCTGGATATGGCCCTGTTTTCGCCCCCTAATTTTTTCGATCCCCAGTCTTCTGTTCTGGTTTCCAGGGACGTGACAACTGATAAGTCCCCATGCCCACTCCCCTCTCCTCGAAAAAATCCTGGCTATGGCCCTTTTTTCGACCCCTATTTTTTCGATCCCTGATTTTCAGTTTCGGTGTCCCACCCCTATTCTTTACTGATTAAAAAAATTTTTTTCTAGTGCGATCTTGGACCGGATAAAAAGGAAGGTGCACCTCCCGCTGTAGACTCGCTTCTTTATTCTGCCTATTACCATCCTGTACAACAATTGACTCCACATGAGCATGCCGACATGTGTGAATGTATTCAGACGTCAACTTTTAAAATGTCTCTTTTTTCTGATCTTAAAACGAAGATGAATGATAAAGAATATACTTTTAATAATATGAAGAAGATTTGGCCTGAGAAGGATAAGGCCGCGAAGGATAAGAAGGATAAGGGGACTGGTGGTCCAGTATATATTTGATGATTTTTTTGTAGGAAGATATTTTAGAGTATATAGGTTTTTTGTTGTTAATATGTAAAAGATGATAGTTTTGAAGCCTTAGGATTTTTTTGGTTTTTTTTAGCCTTTTTGCTGAAATTTTTTTTAATTTTATTTTAGCGCCATTTACTGTCTCAAAATGTTAAAATCCTAAAATCTATTTTTTCGGAGTTTCTCTTAATGTCCAAGATACAAAATGTCCATGCATCAAAATGTCCAAATTTAATGAATTTAAAATGGCGCTCATCCACAAAAGCCCCTTTAAAAATTTTTCTTTTCGTTAATAAAATAATTGGAAATTTTTTACTTCTATTAGTAAAATAAAAATTGTTCATAGAGCAATTTAAATATTTTTTTCATCTTTTAGTTCAGAAATTAAAAAAAATTTTACTTTAAAAATGGCTGCAACTGATGGTAAACAAGAAATTCAACAACAAGAAGAAGTACTTCAACTTTTAGATCCCCAAATTCAAAATTATTTTAAAAAAGGATTGGGACATACTCAACTAACTTCTGTGCAGGTTTTTTTATTTTATTTTATAAAAAATTTTTTTCCCCAAAGAAATGTACAATCGAAAAAATGCTTTCAAATTTTGATTGTATTGTTCAATCACCTACAGGTTCTGGTAAAAGTTTGGCTTTTATATTACCTATGATGCATATTTTGCTTAAAAAGAAGGAAAAGGTTTCATTTTTAATTAAAAAAATTTTTTCGAGGGATTCTTAAGTGTTTTTAAGCCTGGGAATATTTCTTCAAAAAATTTTAACAAGACAGAACATTGTTTAACCAACAAAGGGCTCGAACCTTTAATGTTTAACTATTGAAAACCTAGAGGATTACCACTCAGCTAAACTTCCCAATTTGAGAGATCTTTTTTAAAAATTTTTAGTGGGGTTATAAGGCTAGGAAAATTTATTCAAAAAGTTTTAACAAGAAAAAAAAGTGGTTCAACTCTAACGGTTTAAACCATCCTTACTTAACAGTCTAACCCCAAGAAAGTTAGAAATCACTTAACCAAACTCCTCATTTCACGGAACTTATAATTTTCTCTTTTAGATTGAACAAAGCAAAGAAGCTCCATGCAAAATTATTGGTCTAATTATTGTTCCCAGCAGAGAATTAGTTAATCAAATATTTCAATTATGTAAACCAATATGTTCACAACTTGAATTTAAAATAATTCGTTTATTTGGTTCGAGTGGAGCACGAAAAAAGAGAATGAAGACTGACGTTGATCATTTCAAAGGAAATTGGTTTTTTTTAATTTTTAAAAAAGTTTTTCAAAATTTAATTTAGTGTTGTTGTTACAACACCTGGACGTTTTGATTCATTTATTAGCCAGCACAATCAATTAAAGGAATATTTAAAATTTTTGGAAGTTTTGATAATTGATGAAGCAGACAAATTTAAGGATCAAGATACAAGAAAAAGGTTTGAGTTTTGTTTTTAATAATTTTTTTATTTTAACACAAGGAAAGGGTTTCAAAATTTTATTAAAATAATCCGTCTTATCACTTATAAACTTTAAAAGTAAATAAAAAATAAAATTGGATACCATTTTTGGGGGTCATGGGTTCGAACCCGTTCGGGTCCCTCGAATTTTTTCTTCATTTAAGTTCATCTCCGTATCCCCAAAAACTCTTAAAAATGTTCCTTAAAGGTCCAAAATATTTCTTTAAGGTCATTATTTAAAAATAAATTTTTTTTTCTAGCATTTGTTCAGTACTCTCTATTTTGCCAAAACAGCGACGTTCTGCTCTTTTTTCTGCTACAGAAATGGCCGACAAATTCGAAACAAAAGTTAACGAATTAGCTCGTTTTGGACTTAGAAATCCGTTAAAATTAACTATAGGTTCAGATAATATAATACAAATGAATAAAGATGAAAAAGGAGAAGAAGATAATCAAGAGGAAGAAAAGAAGGAAATAAAGCAAGAAGACGGTTCAATTGTTACACCAAAAGAATTAATCAATTACTATGCGGTTTGAACTTATCTCGTATTTTTTGGATACCCCCTCCCCTTTTTTGAGTCTCGAATTTTTAGGATGCCATAATGGCCAGACTTTCCTCCTTCTTCAATTTCCAATGGCTTATTCAAATAAGATACATTAATAAAGAAAAAGAAGGAGGCTGTCCATTTGTACAGCTTACAGAGACTCGAAATGAGAGGGGTATCCAAAAAGTGCTCATTTTTTTATAAAAATAGAAAAAAAATTTTTTAAGTGTGTCCCAGCAGAATTCAAATTTTTGGCTTTGATCAAATTTTTAAAATCCCAACATAACGAAAAGATACTTGTATTCTGTTCAAATTCAGCACAATGTGAATATTTTGGAATAATTGCACGTTCACTTTTAGAAGATGATGAAAGAGTTGTAATGGAAATGCATAGAAAAATGGAAGGAAAAAGACAAAAAGTGGTAAGAAATTTTTTTTATCTTGGTAGCCTCTTTCCACTTAAGCGGGTCAAATCCGTTAAGGTCCCCCAAAAAATTTTTTTGGTTGGTTTTAACACTGGATCAGACAAAATACCACGAGGTCAGAGAGACTCAAAAAAATTTTTTAAAGTCGCCATGCTTGATATAGATTTTCGAAGCAGACTCTGGGGTCATGGGTTCGAATCCGTTCGGCTCCCTTCAATTTTTCACTTTTAAAAATTTAATTAAAAAAAAATCTTTTTTCAACAGTTAGACGTATTTCGCAGTACAAAAAGAGCAATATTATTCTCAACAGATGTTTTAGCACGTGGAATTGATGTATTAGACATTGACTGGGTATTACAATACGATTTTCCAAAATTATCAAAACTTTATGTTCATCGAAGTGGAAGAGCCGGAAGAATGGGAAGAATTGGGAAATCTTTAATATTATTAACTAATGAAGAATCTGCTTATATTCAATTTTTAGAAAATCAAGAAAAAGTTGTTTTGGAAGAAAGTGAATTTGGAGGTTTAACTGTAGAGAAAGCACTCAAAATTAAAGAAAAGATACAACAAATGGCTAGTGAAGACAGGTTTTTTTTAATTATAAAACGGAAGACTTACACTTAAAAAAGCCTGGCAATAACAGTAACCTATAAGGTCCTAGTAAAAGAAAATCTGAAAAAAAAATTTTTAATGAAGACCCAAATCGATACCATAAACACCAACACCCTGTAAGACATCGAAGCAAAGAAAATTTTAAGAAATATTGGAAACCCCTAGCAAAATTTGTACAAAGGAAATTGAAAAAATTACAACGAAAGACCAAATCTCGTCGAAGTTTTCCTTGTAAAGATGCGAACCCTCACATACTAGGGCAATCCTACTAGGATGTAAAAACTTTAAAAAGAAACCCCAGTGAAAATAACCCACCCAGAAAAATATTTTCTAATTAATCTTATTGCTAATTTCCTTTTTAAAGAAAATTTCTCGAGCTTGGAACTGCTGCATTTGTTTCATTCATCGAAGCATACAACAGACACGACACCCAAATTGTTTGTAAAGTTAAAGGTTTTCTTTTTTGAATTTTTCTTTAAATTTTAAAAATTTCAAAAGATTTGGATATTGTTGGTTTAGCAAATTCTTTTGGTCTTATACGCTTTCCAAAAATTCGTGAATTGGCTGGACGACAAGATTTAATTGCAAAATTTCAGTCAAGATTAGATATAAAAATTAATGAAATAAAATATAAAGATGATAAATTAGAAATGAAGAGATTAGAAATGGAAGAAAAAAATAAAAAGAGAATGGAAAAACATGAAAGAAGAAAAATGAGAAGAATGGCTGCAAATGATGGGGGAGGACAAACAAAGCAGCAAAAGTTTAAAAGTGGAAAAATGATAAAAGGTTTCTTTTTGAGAATTTTTTTTAGAAATGTTAATTCTTAAGAGTTTAATGAACCCTTAGCAGACCCATAGCCAGGGAGCGGGGTAAGGGGACGATCTTCAAATATTTCGTCGGAATCTCTAAATATCGATGGATTAGGTTAAATTTTTTTCTTATTTCAGGAAAAATGACAAGTATGGAAGAGCTTAATAATACAAACAATGAAGATGAAGAAGATGAAGACGATCAATCAAGCGTAGAAGATAATAACAACAACAAGCAAAATGGAGGAGGAAAATCATCAGGAAAACCAACATCAAATAAAAGGAAGAGAAAACAACCAGAATGGGAACAATTACAAAAAGGCGAAAAATTGCTTAAAAAGTTTAAAAAAGGAAAAATAACAAAAACAGAATTGGAAGAGGAAATGGATGAAGCTTTTGATTAAAAACATGAAGAAAAGAAAATTTTTGAAGAAAAAAAATTTTTTAAGAAAATATTTTTTCCATTAAATTATTTTAATTTTGTTTAATTTTTGTTAAAAATTAATAATTAAAAAATGGATCCTCCTAATGAAGAAGCAAAGAATACCCAGTGGCTGTAGGTCACAAAATCAGTAGGGTAACTGACCATCCCGATATGTCCGCATGCCAGGGAAATACCAAAAATAATTAAATTGTAAAAAATAAACCCTTTACTCTCCATTCTTCTCCAATTTCTATTTATTAATATAATCCAGATATTCCAATTTGCATATAGGCAGTAATTGATCAGCAAATTCTTTCAAATTTTTTATTGCCCCTTCATAAGGTTGCCCATCAGGTACTAATATTGAAGCTTCAACCAAAAAAGATTCTCCAAATTGTTTTAATTTGTTATAATTTCCAATTGTGTCAGAACACATTACTTGATACATTATTACCTGAAAAAAAGTTTTGTTTTTTTTTTTCAATTTTTAAGGAGAAAATAAACCCGAATATCTCGTTTTGTAAAAAGAAATCCATTAGCAATGTATTCATATTCCATTCTAGAAAATATTTTTATACATTCAAATTTTTTTAAAAATTATGTTTAATAAATTTCCATGAGCCTAGAAAAATTTTTAAAGCGAAAAACTGTTAAAAACCATACCGCAGAAAATTGTAAAATTATCCCACTTAACCAAGACCTCGATTCTGTTTTAAGATTAAACTTTTTCAAGCAAACTTGATTTTTAGGTTAAGTGGGATAATTCAAAAATTTTCTAAGACCAAAATTAGAATTTTCAGGGATAATTTCAGAAAATATCCCACTTAACTAAAACCTCGATTTAGTTCTAAATTAAAATTTGTCGGGTTTTTTAATTTTTGGTTAAGTGTGATAATTTTTAGTAAGTCTTTATAAAAAGAATGTTTTATAAAAATTCCGTCAGAATGTTTTCTGATTTTCTATTTTACTTTTCGTGTCCCAAAATTAAAAATATTCCAAAATTAAAAAACAACCTCAATCCCAACGACTTGACAAAACTCATCATATCATTTGAATAAATTAAAGAATCAATAACTTTGCGAACAATAACATCTTTAACAGCTGTCTCAGGTATAGCAATATAACGACAATGCCAATGAAGATTATCAGTTTTGAAACGACGGCGCATTTGGACTTGAACTGGAGAATCTGTGCCTGTTTCTAAAAATAAGAAAATTAATTTTTAAGACTTGAAAGGGCGTAGCAAGGGATTAGAAAGAGAGCAGGGTTTATTTGAAAATCATTCCTTCGCAAATAGAATCCGCAAGTACAAAAAACCAGGCAAAATCGAAAAAGAGAAAAGTTTAGCGGTTGTTTTTCTCCAGCAGGAGGTCCTAGTTTCAACTCCCTATTGGCTCGAAAATTTTTGGATGTTCTCTAAAAAATTTAGCGGGAATGGAACCAAAAAATCATTAGGGACCAAAATTTATCAAAAAGGCCTAACCTTACACTCACATTCCCTCCAAAAAATAAATAATAAAGCTCCTTACTCAATTTAAAAACCATATTATGTTCAAAAAAAGCAACAGGTCCACCAGGATCACATAAACCTTTTAATCTTTCAATAAACTGTCCCTTCTCCAAATTTGTAATGCTTCCATATAAAATACATTCTGTGCTTTGATATTGACTTGAAGGCAATTTTGTTGTTGTTTCCTTTAAAGTAGAGCCATAAATACTTTGAGGCAATTGACTTGAAGAAATATTTTCCATTTTTTGGACAGAATTTAAAAAAATATGACAGACAGGAAATAACGCAAAATAAAATCTAAAAAGAAATTAAAAGTTAAAATTAAACCTTCATCAAAAAAATTTTATTTCAAGTAGCCAGTAAGAACTTCCACTATTCAAAGGTAACTTCTCAATTAAAAAAACAACGTGAACAACAACAGCTAAATTTTAAACCTTCATCTCATCACAATTTTCTAAGAATCTAAAATCCAAACAATTAAATTAGTATTTTAAATACAAAGGGGATGGGCAAGCATCTTGATTTTTGGCACTCTCTATTTTCTCAAAAAATTGTCGAGAAATCTTTTAATCTTTATACATTGTTATATACACACACATGCCCATCTCCTAAATCCTCCTTCCACTCTCCTTACTTTAAACTTAAAATTTTTTTTAAAAAATTCAAAATGGTTTCATTAAACCCACAATTTAAACAAAGAATAAAAAAACAACCTAACAATCCATTTATTTTCTCAAAAAAGTCTCTATAATAGTTTGAGGAATAGAACAAATAATATTTTTTAGAAAAATATTTTAAGAGAGAATTTTCTTTTTAGAGAAGAGAGATAAACATTAACTATATAAAGGGTATTATTTATAGAAAAAATAAGGGGGAAGAGACAACAAAATTTTTTAATAATTTTTGAAGGAAACAAAAAAAACATTTATTTAAAATATTTTTTCCTTCCTATTTTTAATTTTTAAACTTCCTGTTTGAGAAAAAAAGGGCAGCATCAAAACACACACACAAATTTAATATCCATCTCTCTCATCATCCTTCTCATTTACTTCTTCCTCTCTCTAGATTAGATGAACATACTTTTGAATCTCCTCGTAGAAGGCGAGCACTAATGCACCACCAGTACCACGGAAGACCTTTAAAAAAGATTTTTTAAATCTCAAAAAATTTTGAAAAATTCAAACATTGGAAAGCGCTCCCTTGAACATAGCCTGAGGACCCTCATTCTTGATGATCTTGATGGCGCAATCCAAAGTGTCTAAATTATAAAAGTTAAAGAAATTCATAAAATGAAAACACATACTCTTGTAGAGAATATCCTTGCGTCCAGATTGCATCATCATACGTCGACGAACGGTGTCCCAAGGATAGGAAAGAATTCCAGAAGAGACAGTCACAACCTTGAAGTTGAAAAATAAAGGTAAGAGTACAAGGTAAAGGAAAGTTTTGGAGATAGTCGTAACAATAGAAGCCCAGCCAACTCCCAAAGGATTTCGAAATCATAAAGCAGAAAGTTGATTCAAATATTTTTTGACACGAAGAATAAAATAAACCTCAAGTAAAGCCCAAACTAAAATTCGAAGGTCCTCTCGGATTTCTCCTTCCGGAGTTCGAACCCTGAACCAACCCAACTTAAGACCCACAAGAAATAAGATTAAAAGGAAAACCTGTGCAATAGCCCAGCTCACAAAGAAGTTCAATTTCTGTCCATCTTTAGCAAAATACATCTTTGCAGTGTCAAAACAGCCAAAATATGCCGCACGATAGATGATAATGCCCTGAACAGAGACGAAGAATCCTCGATACAAACCAATAGGACCATCAGATTTGAATATTTTGACGAGACAATCAGCAAGTCCGTTGAACTCACGAGCTCCGGCCCTTAAAAATAAATTTTGAAAAAAAGCTTTTCTATTAATCATGACAGCTTTTTATACTTTCCAACGTCCGCAGCCAAACGAGTACGAGCAAAATCCAAAGGATAGACAAAAGCCAAAGAAGTAGCACCAGCAGCACCACCAGAAGCCAAGTTCATCAAAAAGAATTTGCCAAACTGTTTGTTCTTGTCAACACTAGAAAATGTGAAGAATAATGTATAAAACCCTTTAGATAAGACAGAGGCAGGCCCGTAATCGGGATCAAGCAGAGGGCTTTCCTGGCGAAGGGCCTAACGAAACGGGGTACCCCAAACCTGATAACCGAACCTTCATCACCCAAGAATCTCGATCTCAAAAAGGTTAGAAAACCCCGACCCGAACCCCAGACTATTTCCCAACACATAACATCATTAAAAAATACCCTTCCATGAAGATCCTTTTGTAAGTGTCCTTGAACGCAAAGTTGAGAGCTTGCGTTGGAAAGTAACGAATCACGTTAGCCAAATTACCACGCCAAAAAGCAAGGACTCCCTGTTCTTTGGGCACACGAACAAGCACATCAATTATTCCCTTATAGCGTTTATCGGCAGCGATGTGCTGAGAAGCGTCTTGAACCTTTAAATAATTGAAAGGTAAATTTAAAAGGAACTTAAGAAAACCTGTAGCAACAACTTGACACGCTCAATAGGCGCCACAGCCGTCTTAGAAACCGCAGCAGCAGTTCCTCCAGAAGCCAAATCAATCGCAAACTTTTTGGCATCGAAGCCGTCCTTCTTTTTGCCACCATCGCCGCCGCCAGCTTTCTTTTTGTCTTGCTCGCCCATTTTTGTTTGTTGTTACAATTTGTTAGATTTAGACAAGAATATAGATAAAGTCACAAGGTTAAACTTGTCTTTATAATCTGAAAAATGGGATTTTAAGTTGCATTAAATAGAAATTGTAAGCGCGAATACGAAAAAAGGAAGTTTCGAAAAAGTAAGGAAAGATAAAAAACACGAACCGCGCCTAAAAGACAGACGATTAATGTGAAAAAAGGAAAAGTTTGCAGTTCGGTATCGGCTTTTATAGTAAAGTAGGAGAACTTTAAAGTGTAAATCAAAGGGGATTTCAAAGTGTCGAATTCAATTAATCGAAAAATAAAATGTCGAAACCCTTAAGAAAGGTCAATTTGTCTAAAATTTTGAGAGATTAAAAAATAGACGACCAAAGATCAGTATTTCAATCAATATTTCAACAGAAAACAACCATCTCAAACTGAATTTCAATAGACAATAAAATAGATAAACAAAAACAATAAACAAAATTGTTGACAAAATCACAACAAAATACAAAGTCTGTGAATGAATCAGAGACTTTTTTTGACCTCCCTAAAAGCTTTAAAAAATTCTAAACTAACAAAACTAAGCAAATTCCTCCAGTCTTTCTTCTTATAAAAATGAAAAGAACAAAAAATTTCATAAAAATGTTCCTCCTAATGATCTCTCGTCAAAAAAAGTGGGAAGAGATTCTTTTTAAAAATGCAATAAAAATTTTTTGAACAACGAACACTATTAAACTTAAGAGAAGGACAAATATATAAAATTGATTTTTGATGAGAGACATTGAATGACAAAGAAAAAGAGAAAAAATACCTAGACAAAATTGCGTGTAACTATGGGAAGAGAGTACAAAATACAAGAAAGTGGACACTAGAGTATAGGGATAATAGAGTACGGAAATGAGGAGGCTGGAGAAATTTAATGGACATTAGAGTCAGATTATAGAAGAATCGAGAAACTTTAGGAAAATAGAGTCTAGGGAGGTTAGAGTCTCAGATTAAAAAATTCTTTTTCAGTCTCTTGCTTAGAATTTAAATAAAGACTAGAGAGAGTAAGGGAATAGTAGAGTACGGAAATGATGAGGACTGGAAAATTTACTAAATTGACATTAGAGTCTGATAAAGAAAGATCGAGAGATTTCGGAACGCGACCATTCAAGTCTCGTTTCTGAGTCCCACCGTTTGAGTCCCTGGCCAGTTGAGTCCCTCTGGTTGATTTTCCCCGTCTTTGGAACAACATCCCCTACTGCTGTTGGATGTTGTTCAATGAATGATTCAAAATTAAAAAAAATTTGAAATTTAAAAGTGTGAGAGAACAAAAGTTTGTCTGTGTGTGTTTGCTGACGAAAAAAATTAATTTTGTTAAATACACAGTAAAAATTTTAAGTGAAAAATTGAAGCAAAAAAAGAGTAAAAGCTCTAAAGTTCAATCGTCATTTGTCTTTTTTTTAAATTCAAAGCTTTAATAGAAGAAAGAAAAGTCAATGATCAGACATGAAAAAAATTTTTTTAGACAGATCATTTTATAATTCAAGGAAAATCACGTGAAAAAAAAATTTAATTTTTTTTGAACTGAAAAAAAATTCAATGAATTCTCTATTGATTTTAAACAAAGAACAGAACCTTTGGAAAAGGAAAAGAAAATTTTAAAAACTTGGAAAACCTGAAACAAAAACCTGAAACAAATACCTGAAACAAAAATCTGAAACAAAAACCTGAAACAAAAACCTGAACAAAAACCTGAACAAAAACATGAAACAAATACCTGAAACAAAAATCTGAAACAAAAACCTGAAACAAAAACCTGAAACAAAAACCTGAACAAAAACCTGAACAAAAACATGAAACAAATACCTGAAACAAATACCTGAAACAAATACCTGAAACAAATACCCTTTAACTTGTGTGGCACGATGAATTCAAGTCCGATCTGGATGATCTATAGCTCATTCAAAAGAGCATTAAAAAGTGTGTCTAAAACCTATTGGCCGATCTAACTACAATTATTCTTTAGAAAAATAAAAATTTTAGAAGAGTCTTTTACTATCAAAAATCGTAAAAATTTTCCCTTTTTTTATTCATTAATTTATTCATTTCATGCTAAAAAATATATTTAAAAATATATTTAATTTTTTATGCTAATTCTGCTCTTTCATTTATTAATATACGGCTTCATCAATCAAAACTATTTTTGTTTTTAATAATTCATGACCACCTATATATAAATACTTTGTAGAAGCAAAAAAACTTTGTTAAAAAGCCAACCACTTTACATAAACTTTTTCTTGTTTTATAAAAGGACACACACAATTTTGCATAAATTAGTGCGCAAAACTAGCAAAAAAATTTCCTTTTATTTTATTTTTGACTATATTAGTTAGAAAATGCGCAGGGTCATAAAAACATTTCTATGAAACAAAACTTTGAAGCAAAAACTTGAAACAATGTTTAAATTGTTTAATTCAGCTTTAATTATCTCTCTATTATAATTAACCTTCTCTCTCTCTCTCTCCCTCTCTCATAAAACGCTCAAACATTAATTAAACCTCAAACACTTCACAACAACAACAATAAAACACTTGACAAACTTAAAAATAAATAAACAAATAAAATTATACTTGAAACAAAAACATAATTTATTTTCCGGAAAACACAGATAAATACACCCCTAATAATTTCCGGAAAACACAGACAATTCCGGAAAACACAGACAAATACAATTTTAATTAAACTCAAGTTTTACAATTTCAAGTTTTTCAAACAAACTTTACAATTTGTAAAACATGTTTTGTTAAATCAAACAACTTGACAATTATAAAATTAAAAACATGAAGCAACTTGAAGCATGTTTTCAGTTAAAACTTGAATATCTCCTTAATTTATTTTCTTTTACTTTTCATTCAAATAATACTAAAAAAAATTTTTTACCCGATATAATAATTAAACCCCAGCATATAAAATTTTTTAAAAGAAAAATTAATCAAATTTGGCCTTTATATTAGACAAAAATTAAATTAATTTTCCTTTTCTCTCTTAAAAATGCTTTAAAACATTTGTGTGTATTTTTAAGGCCAATAAATTATATATAAACAAAATAAAAATAAATAATCCTAGTTAACAATTGTATTGACAAATGGAGACATAAGCCTTTATATGCGCTAACAAAAAATAATTTATCTTGTGTCAATTGCAGGAAGGCGCTCTGTGTTTTTTTAGTTGAATAAAGCTAAAGGTAAGTGTTTCTCTATATTTTCTTATATAAATTCCGGAAAAACACACAACAAAACACAAACTCATAAACAAATTCCGGAACATGTTTTACAATTGTGGAACATGTTTATAATGTTTTACAATTATTTTTAACAAACTTTAGACAAACTTCCTTCTAGTAATTTCCGGAAAACACAAACATTTCCGGAACTTGTTTTACAATTGTAAATTTCTTTAACATAAGTAAACTTAAACAATAAACATTGTTTTTAACAACTTGTTCATGTTTAAAAACATGCTTTACCGGAACATGTTTTACAATTGTACAACTCTCTTCGAAAACATGTTTTATTTTTACCAAACATTTTACAAATCAATTTTTAAAATTTTTCTCTTTCCCTAGTGTTTCTTTTGTTTAAAACATTCCAAAAACAATGTTTTTATAATCCCCTTAAAAATATATTTATTGCAAAACTTTCAAGAGTCTCTCCCCTTTACAAAACTTTCCAAAATTTCCAGGCACTTATGAATTTGCCAAATACCAACTATTAGCAAAAAGCTTTTTTAAATGTTTATATTTATTTAAAGTGTGTCTTCCCTCTCATCAGTTCAAAAATCTTTCTTTATTTTTTTCTTCTTTTAAAAGACACACAAAAATGTGCCAAAAATCGACGACGCGTTATTTGTCACGAATATTTCTTCAAAAAAAATTTCTAAAAAAAATTTTTTTTTAATTTTTTCTCAATCAAACTGCTTCATCCTTTCATCCTTGACTATATATTTTTTTCAAAAAAAAATTTTTCCTTCTTCATCCTAAAAATGGGAAAAAACTGACGACTGGTGTTTGGAATAAAGAGATATTTGATCCTTCCTTAAATAAATATTCTTTTCCTTATGCTTCATCTTTTTTAATAAAATTTCCTCTCTCTTAGTGTTTACCTTGTTCATAAATAATATGTAATATTACCTACTCTCAATTTCACTTATTTATTTTTTACCTTTGCCAATTTTTACTTTTAGGTATAAAAGCTTGCTTTTTGTTTTTTTTGAAAAATAAAAAAAAAATATTTTTACCTGAAGCAAAAAAATTTTTTTAGTAATGTTTTTTTTGCTTCTGCTTCAAAATTATACAAGAAAAAAAATTTTTTCTTCCAATTAAAAGCACATTCATTCAAAATAATATTTTTTTCTGCTTTTTACTTTTACTTACATTCCTTAATTTTTCAAAAAAATAAATAAAATTTTTCTTTGCTTCAATTTTTCTTTCCTGTTATAAATAACTAGTAGTTAGCTTGATAAATGACCTTAAAAAATGCCGAAAAAACCTTTATGAATAAACCTAAAATTTAATATACAACAAACATTGTATTTTTCAGTATTTTTTCTAAACAAAATTATACCTACGCTTATTTAAAAATTAAACACAACAATAAACCAGGAAAAATCAAAAATTCCGGAAAACACAATTCAGATAAATATTTAAGTTAAGAAAAACACAAGAAATCAGAAAAACACAAAAAAAAACACAATCAACCATCAAAAACACAAACATTCAGAAAACACAAACAATCAAAACATTCAGAAAACACAAACAATCAGAAAAACAAAAACACACAACAATAAATTCTGGAAAACACAAACATACAGAAACACACAAAAATTCAGAAAAACATTAAAACATTCAGAAATACATTTCAGAAAAACACAAAATGTTTTGTAACCTTTAAAAACATTCCTATCAATTTTGATGGGAAACATCAATGCTTCAACAACAAAAACAACAACAAAAACATTTACACAACATTTTCCCGAACAAACATTGTTTACAACATTTTCTTAAACAAACACATTTAATTATTAAAACATTGTTTGTTTCACAATTAAACAACATTAATAACAACAAAATTAATAAGCCTATTATCTCCTCCCTATTATTATTTTCTTTAATTACAGACAGATTATTTTTATTATTTTATATTATTTTTGTCTTCTCAATAACTAACACATTATCTGGTATTTCTTAAAAAATATTTTTAAAAAATTCAAAAAAAAATTTCTAGAAGAAACCCCCCTCAGAGCCCCCACCCTTTTTTTCCACCGTCGCAACGAAGAACGCGACATGGGAGGTGGTGGAGGTTCTTCCTCTAGAAGTAGTGGAACAGGGCACGCAACAGCAGCACTTTTATTAGCAGCAGCTCATCAAACACAGAGGCATAACCGATGCTATTCGTAATATAATTTTAATAAAAAAATTTTTTAAACCTAACTCCCCTTCCTTGAAGTTGTATGTCCGCCGTCTATGAACAATTATTCAAAGAAGGCGATCTAGGAAAGTTTGTTGAATTATCAAATCTCTCCAATTTTTTAATTTTTCAAGTTTCTTTTTTGAACCACGCAATTTTACTGCACAATGTGATGAACAACCAATGAATATACATGGAATTGGATTAGTTCCATGTCGAGGAATTTGTCTTTCGTTAGCACAAGAATTTGTTATTATGGGTAAGGGAAAATAATTTTTTTGAAAAAAATTTTTTCCCCAAATTTCCAGGAAGGAAAACAGGCAAACGTTTATGGATGAGGGGATGTGCCCATTCATTATCAAGGCATGGATATATTAACAGAACAATAGCTTTCTTTGCTGAATTTGATATGTGCCGAGAAGTTTTGGCTTCTGAATTATTTCGGCTTTCTTCAAATAATAAAATTGGTGGAAGGTCTGTTGAACATTTTCATGGAGGTGTTGGATCTTCTTCTTCGGTTGGTGGTGGTAGTGGTGCTGGCGGGCTTATGGATTCTCAACCAATTTTGGTAAAAAAATTTTTTTTGTTTTTTTTGCCCTTCACATTGTGGTCCATTATTTTTTGAAAGATTTTTAAAAAATTAAAAAAAAAATTTTTTTTTTATTCAAAACAGGCCTGCAGCTGTCTAGGCGACCGATGCAACACCCAAACATCAGGTTCCATGCCCATCAAATCAATTCACAACAAAATTCTGCTTGCAACAATATTATTATTTTTATTAATTAATCTGTTAAAAAATTAATATTTTATAAAATTTTTCTTTTTTTCAAAAAATATCATTAATTATAATTAATTATAATTTAAAAATTAAAAAAAATTTTTTTTTCTCTATTTAATCTTTAATTAAAATAAAAACATTAAAATGGCGGAAAACAATAATAAAATAAAAGGTAAAACATGTTGCGCAATTAAATATATAATAATATTAAATTATAATGGGCGTCCATAAAAAAGAATAAAATATATAATAAAATTAACAGGAAGGAGAATTGAAAAAATACAAATTTGAAAAATGAAAAATACAAAAGAAATACTTTATTTTTAATATTCATTTAATTAATGTTGAGTTTTTAAAAGGAAAATGTGTGTTTTCCGGAAAATACAAAGAGGTGTTTTGTTTGTTGGATGGTTATGGAAAAATACAAAAACATGTTTTTAAGAATGTTTTTATTATAAATGTTGTGAAACATGTATTTTCCGGATGTGTTTTCCGGAAAAAACAAAGATGTTTTGAACAAATGTTTTGTTTGAATGTTTACGGAAAAATACAAAAAACATGTTTTTAGAAATGTTGTTAAAAATGTTTTTATAAATGTTTTTACAACAAACATGTATTTTCCGGAAAATTAAAAACAATTTAAAAAGTAAAACACAAACAACATTATAGATAGAGTTGGGAATGAAGAGAGGTTAGCAGAGATAACAGAGTAAAAAATAATAAGATGAACATATCAATGTAATTTTACGAAAAACAATGCTTTTTGTGGCAAATAAAAAAGAAAAAAAATTTTCTTTAAAGAGAGACCGACCGAGAGTGAGGGAGAAGAGGATTTGAGAGAAGCCACCCTTGTAAAAAAATTAAAAAAAAAAAGAAATATCAAGGAAAGAAAAATGAGAGTGTCCAAATTAGTTAGTTAATAGAGTTTCACCGGAAGTTCCGGTTCCGGTTCCGGTTCCGGAAAGTTCCGGTGTTTTTTTGGTTCCGGTTCCGGGAACCGGAACTCAAATTGGTTCCGGTTCCGGTTCCGGCTCCGGTTTTCAAATCGGTTCCGGGCAAACCGGAACTTTTTTACACCCCTAAAGATTGATTTTTTTAGAAAAATTAATAAACTACTCGTACTCTCATGCTTGTGTATTAAAAAAAATCGAAAGAAATATGTTTATTTTCTGTCAATTGACCTAATATAGGCGGGTGGCCGAGTGGTTAAGGTGTTAGACTTCACCCTTGGCGTGAATGATTTAAAGATGGGTTCGCTTCCGAGGCATAGGACAATTAATCTGCATGTTTTTCTTTCCTTAAAAACTTATTTTATAAGTTTATAATTTTGTTTTTAAAATTATTTTATTTTTACATGGAGTAATTGTGGTTTTTTGGCCCTCTAAATTTCTTAAAATTTTTAGTTTGACTTATAAATTGTGAATTTTTTTTGCTTATGGCCTTCATAAATTTTCAAAAATTTCGCCTGCGGCGCTGAAAAGGGAAGAAATTTGGCTTCTTGTCCTCACAGATTCTCAAAATTTTTCGCCTGCGGCGCTTAAAAAGAAGTTGAATGTTATATCGGAGGATTTGGATGGATTAATTTGGATTTTGATTATATCATGATTTCAAACGGTCATATGTAATATCGTGGATTTGGGTGTGATATCGAGAAATTGAGTAGGTAGATATGGGATTTTCTTGCAATTCAGAACCTTTTTATCGCCCGATATCAAACAGTTATATCCGACAATCCGTTTATACACCACTCTCTAATCCGACGACAAATTTTCGGCCCGGTTTTGGTTAACCAAGTTTCTATTCGGTTAGACGGTTCGGTTTCGGTTAACCGAAAAATTTGGTGAAACCCACAACCCAAATCAAAATGGAAATTTTTTAAAATTTCCTAGCAAAAAAAATTTTTTTAAAGTTCCGGTTCCGGTTCCGGTTCCGGGCCGGAACTTAGAAAAGTTCCGGTTCCGGTTCCGGGAACCGGAACCGGAACTTAAATTGGATCCGGTTCCGGTTCCGGTTCCGGTCAAAATTTCGGTTCCGGTGAAACACTATTAGTTAAGTCTAAATAATAAATAAAAATCTAAAAATGACACACAAACATTTTGGTGGACGGATAAAAAATAAAAAAGTTTAAAATAATAAAATAGAAGTGTATTGAGAAGGAAAAAAGAGCTACGCGTAATAATATAAAATTTTTTGGAAGGAGGTGAATTTAAAAACTGGCCAAAATTAATTTTAATAATTTTTTTGCAACTTAAGGATTTTTTGTTAGGCAAGAAAATTGGGCAAAAAATTTTAAATAAATTTTTTAAGTAAATTTTTCTATCTAAAATTTGTTTAAAAATTGTTGCTATTATTATTAGATGATTGGTGACCACTATTCCCTCCTCCTCCACTACCACTACTACCTCCCTGTTGTTGTTGACTACTATTAAAATGTTTAATATTTTCTAATGGGGTGATCATGTTGAATCTTTAATTAATTTAATAAATTTTCAAAAAAAATTTCTTTTACCCTCTAGCAGCAGCAATAGAGGAAGCAGCAGCACCTCCCCCATTTTGTTGAAATGAACGTTGAAAAAAATTTAAAGCAGAATTTCCTATTGACATTTGATTAACTACGTTTGCTGTTGCCATTGCTCCATTATTATTTGAGGCGCTACCTGAGTTTCCTAAGTGTGGAGAAAAAAATTTTTTAAATTAAGATTCAGTAAAGGAAAGGGATAGTAAAGGAGAAGAGATTTTTTTGGAAATATATTTTTGGAAACAGAAAATTCAGAAAAAAAAGAAAACAGAATATTCTCTAAACATTTATGGACTTGAAGCAAAAACTCGAAGCAAAAACTTGAAGCAAAAATACAAAAAATTTTGAAAACTAAAAAAATTTTTCAATTCCAAAGACTGAAACAACCCTCCTTACCCACACTTTTCCTTAAAAAATCTTTTTTCTTTAAATTCAGAAGATTCTGTTTTTCTTTTAATTCTCTTAAAGAAAGCCCCCCAAAACAACTGTTTTCTTACCACCCACCGTTCCCAGCATTTCCACCACTACTACTACTACTAGTACCTCCTGAAAATGGATAGCATCCATATGAACTTAAAGCTGCTGCTGTACTTGCTGCTAATTGTTGTTGTTGTTGCTGCTGAGATTGTTGTTGCTGTTGAGCAGAATGTTGTTGTTGCTGTTGTTGCATTGCATTAGCTGCTGCCATTTGGAATTGCTCGGCTACTTAAAAAATAAAAAAAATTTAATCTGAAGCAAAAAAAAAATTTCTGAAGCAAAAAAAAATCTGAAGCAAAACTGCTTACTAAGCGAAAAATCTTGTTGCTGTTGTTGTTGTTCAGCAGCATTTGCAGTACTATTATTATTTTGATTTCCACCACTACCACACCCTAATTGACCCAAATGTTGTCCAAGCCCATCAAAAGGATCAAAAGCAGAATCTAAACCAGAAACAGCCATCATTGCAGCATTCCCTGCTGCAGCTGCCAGTTGCTGTGCAGCAGCGGCTGTAGTAGAACCATTTGAAGATGAACAATAACCAACATTTCCAACGTTTTTTCTTTAAGAAAAAGTTTTTTCTAATCAAAAAATTTTTTAAAAACAAACGGAAATCGCATATCACTCCTACGATCAGTATGTTTAGTCATATGTTTGTCAAGGTAGAGGGCTTGTGAATAAGATTTTCCACAAAATGGGCAAATGTGAACCTTTAAAAAAAGGAAAAAAATATTTTTTTAAAAATTCAATAAATTTTTCCAGAAATTTTTTTATATAAAAAAAATTTTTCATATTTATATCTACATATTATTATTATTCACCTTCGCACTTGCCTTAAGATGCTTGCTCTCCTTATGTCGTGGAATATGTTCAAGAAGTGTTTGTTCGTCAGCAAAACATTTGTAACAACTTTAATAAATTTTTTAAAGTTTGAATGTTTGTAAAACATTTAAAACCTGTTACACTTGTATGGCCTATCAGATTGATGACAACGAGAATGGGATTGTAAATTAGATAACTAAAGAAATTACAAATTGTAAAAGTTCAAAAACATTGTTTGAAAAACATGTTTGTTTAAGTTGTTTAAAAAAGAGAGGGTTATGTTTGAAGTTTATTCAAACATGTTTTTAAATTAATTGTAAACGAACAAAACATGTTTGTTTATAAACAAACAAAACACAACTTGTTTTGTTTATGTTTTAAGTTGTTGCTTGTTTGCCGTCTATATGTTTAGTATGTTTGTTTAGTTAATGTTTGTTTCAAACAAGTTGATTGTACATTAGACATTGAAACAACTTTGTTTAGTAGTTGTAAAAACAAAACCATAAACAAATCAAGTTTTGTTTAGATTTTTTGTTTGTTTCAACTTGTTTTTAAATTTAAACAACCAAACAAACATTGCTTAACAATAAAAACAAAACAAACTTGAGAAAATGCCTTCTCACAATTAGCATATTTACATTTATAAGGTTTTTCACCAGTATGTGTACGTATATGTTGTTGTAAATGAGAAAGTTGTGTAAACTAGAGAGAAAAATTGCTTTAAAATAAAATACAGAGTAAGAACCTTCTTTCCACAAAATTGGCACGGACCAAAAGCTCGAATACCCAAATGAATTCGCATATGTTGACTCAAATAGGAATTATTAGCAAAAGCTTTTGGACAATGAGGACATTTAAACGGTTTTGGTTCTCTTTGATTTCCACCACCGCCACCACCACCTGTACCCGAAGAACTACAAACAACGGCTTCATCAACAGAAGATGCTGATTGACCAATGCTGCTACTAATAACACTGCTACCTCCACTTAATTGTCCAACTGCTGCAGCAAGTTGCTAAAAAACAATTAATTGTCTGGTTAAAAACAATGTTTTGATTATGTTTGTGTTTTCGTTTGTGTTTAGACAATGTTTTGTTTAGACGATGTTTTGTTGGAAAAATGTTTAAATGTTTGTTTTAATGTTTTTAAGCGTTTGTTTGGAAAAATGTTTTTGAGCTTGTTTAGAAACATGTTTTTAATGATGTTTAGGTTGTTTAACCATTAGAGACATTACAAAAACATTTTTTAATGGACCATAATTTAATGAAAACATTAAAAACAACAACCTGTTGCTGTTGTTGGTGCTCCAAAAGTTGTGCTTGCAAAGCTTCAGCAGCAGACATTGCTTGTTGTCTTTGTTTATTATTATGGTGATGTTGTTGTTGCTGCTGCTGATGGTGATGTTGTTGATGATGTTGTGACCTTGGAGATTCAGATGAAGAGGATGATGAAGAACCTGATTGGGGCACCGAACATGTATTGTTAGCAGCAAAAGAAGAAGCAGCCTGCAGCAGCGAATGAGGAAACATTTTTTATTTAAGAAAAGTTTTTGTTTTTTTTTTTTAAGTTTTTTTCAATTTGATGACTTTCTTCTCTCTATATTTTTTTATTTTTTAATTTAATAGGAATTTACTCATTAATTTAAAAAATAATATGAATTTAAAAAAATTCTAGAAGAGCGCATATTAAAATCAAAAATTCTTATATTTACACGAAATAAAGAAAAAAATAATAAAAAATTTATTAAAATGACATTTACAATGCCAAATATTCCTTTTGTCTTACTGTTAAAAAATAAAAGAAAAAATAGAAAAAAATCTTTAAAAAATTTTAAAAGTACAACAGCAGCTGAATTGTACTAGGTTAAAAAAATTTTTGTGTTTGTGCTTGTATTCTTAAGAATTCAGTTATTTAAAAAATATTTTTTAACTAAAAATAGGAAAAAAATAGAATTGAAAATTTGAGTTGGGTTAAATAAAAATCGTCAGAAACATTAGGTAGATTAAAAACAATGTTTTTTCGTGTTTTGTGTTTTATATGTTGTGTTTATGTGTTTCATGTGTTTTGTTTTATGTTTGTGTGTTTTCCGGAAAATATTAAAGTTTAGCATGTGTTTATAAAACACATATAAAATACAAAAGATATGTTTCATGTTTGAGTGTTCTTAAAAGAAAATATAAAATGTTCGGCTAACTAACAAACTAAAAAAAGAAAATACAACAACCAATGAAGAAAAAACACAAGTTTTGATTAATGTTTTATAGTAAAATAAAACAGTCACTAAACTAAAAAATAAATATATATTTATGATATGAAATACAACCTTGATCAAAAATTTTATTTAATGATAATTTGTTTTTTTCCGCGCATTTCTTTTAAATTATAAATGTATATGGTATTTTTAATGTAATCGCTTAATCAAGGTCAATTTATTTATTTTTACCCTCCCATGGTCATTCTGCCATATCAACAAAAATTTGAAAAAAAAACAAAAACATTATAGAATTGAAAAATGCAAACGAACAAACGAAATTAAAAACACAAAAGAAACACAAAAACATTCATATAATAAAACACATTTTCTAAAAATTTAAGTTTAAACTTAAAATACAAACAAACAAAATAAAACAAAAACACAAAACATCCAACAAACAAAAATACATTTAGCAAAACTTAAGCTTGAACTTAAAATACAAACAAACATTCAAAACAAAATAAAACGAAAACACAAACTTAAAAACATTGAACTAAAAAATAAATTTTCACAAAATGAACAAAAACATTTAACAAACACAAACACATCTGCAAACTTAAGCTTGAACTTAAATTACAAACAAAACTTAAAAACATTCAAAACATTCCAAAATGAAAACACACATACACACAACAAAAACATCCTAACAGAAATATAATTCCAAAATTAAGCTTGAACCTAAAGTTGAATCTAAAACAACTTAAACATAAAATACAAAGAAACAAGAAACACAATTAAAATACAAAGAAACACAATACAAAGAAAAACACATTTTCACAAACTTAAGCTTGAACTTAAAGTATATTTTAAACCCTAAAAACTTTTTTTCTCAAATTTTTTATAAATTATAGTCATCAATATATGTAGCTAAAGCAATCGTCGCTTTATTTTTTCGTCAAATCACTAAAAGATTTTGTGACAGAAATTTTTTTTTAAAAAACAAGTGGCTCTCTTTTCCCTCTGTCATTTTTATTTTTGTTTGTCCTTGGAAAAAATTCTACTTTTTTTTCTTTTTATTTCTTAAAAATTTTTTTTTTCTTCTTTAGATATCTTCTCCCCCATATTCTCTGCCCAACCGTATACAAAAAATATGAAGAAAAAAATTTTTTTTATTGGAGGAAAAAAAAAGAAATTTTTTAGAGGGGTGTGCAACAATCTCTTAACTTTTTCGTCCCTTTTTTTCATTGGTTTAATAAGGTAAAAAGAAGAAAAATGAAAAAGGAGAAGGGGAGGAGGTGAAGGAGGGGGAGAGGTGATAGGGTAAAAAAAGAAGAAGATTGATGATAAAAATAAAAAAATATAATATTTTATATAAATTAACCAAAAAAATATTTTTTTCGAAATCCACTTTTTCTACACACTCACAATCTTTTTTAATATTTAAAATCATAATTTAAATTTTCCTTTTTAATTTTTAAATTTTAAAGTCCCAACAACAGTTCATTACAAAAAAATATCCACTCTCCCTTCACTCTCTCCAACCTATTAAAAAATACCTATTTTTGTTGCAAATTAAAAAATTCAAAAATACACTAAAATTGCGAAAAAAAAATAAATAAATATAAAATGGAAAAAGAATTCAACAAAACAACACAAAAATCAAAAATTAAATTTTCAATCTATTAAAAAATAAAATTAAAAAAAATACTTAGATAGACTAAAAGATATATAAAAATTTTAAACAATTAAAAAATATATATAAATGTTGATAGAGCGAATAAAAAGAAACAAGAAATGAAAAAAGGAGAGAAATTTAAAAAAAATTTATATATGAAGGAAAAAAAGAGGCGTGTGTGTGTAGTTGTGAGCAGCCGATACAAACATAAGTGGTGGGCGATTGGTTGGTTTTTGATTTAAGAAAATAAAAAAAAATTGACAAAATATATTTTAAAAAAATAAAGAGAAAGAAAAGATTAATTAATAAATATATAGATAATAAAATTCGCAATATTTTTTAATCAAAATTTATAAAAAAAATTTATAGACATTTCGTCCACACGAACAGAAAAGTCATGCCACTTCGGCGCAGTTAAAATTAAAACAAAAACATCAATAAAAAACAATTAAAACAGCAAAAACAACAATTAAAACAACAAGAAAAACACAAACACTCAACAAAACAAAAACAACAATATAACAGATTAAAACAAAAACAATAACAACATACCAAAAACGCAGAAACAAATCAAAACAACAAAAATTAGAACAAAACAACAACAAAAACAACAAATAAAAACAACAAGTAAAACACAAAATAAAACACGAACAATTAAAACATAAAATTAAAACAACAACAACAACAAGGAAAAAATACAAAAACACAAAAACACCAAGAAAAGAAATACGAAAATACAAAAACACATAAACTTAATTGTTGTTGTGTTTTTATTAAAAACCTCAAAAATACAAAAATTAGAAACAAAATAACAGAAAAAAATACAAGGAAAATTAAGCCAAAAAATAATCTAGTGCTTAACTAAATTTTAAAACATTTTTAATAAATTAAAAAATTTTTTTAATGAAAAAATAGTCAAGGAAGTAAAAAATATTTAAAGAGGTAGAAAAGTAGGCGGAGTTTCAAAAGTTTAAATTTATATATTTAAATAAAAAAACACAAAAAATACAAAGAGAGAAAGAGAGAAACATTTTAAAATAGAGAAGAAACACACACACATTTGTTTTTGTAAAAACAACAATAAAAACAACAAACACACAAATTTAATTTTGTTGCCTTGTTGGGTGTTTATATATAAAAATGTTTATGTATGCATGACACTAATAAAATATTTTAAAATTTTTATTACCTTATTTTAAAAAAAGTCAAAAATATATACACTTTCCTTATGACATTTGTAATTGTACCAAAATTAAAAAAAAATTATTTAATAAAAATTTAGAAAAAAAAATAAATTTAAAAGTGTCGAAAAGCAAAGGTATAAGGTCTAAAACTAAGGGTATTTAAAAATTAGAGAAAAAGAATGCAACTATTAAACTAATAAAAATAAAACCTAAAACCCGAGAAAAAAATACTTTCAAGAAAATTTTCTTCCAGGTAAAAATCGTTTGCTGTAAAAAAATACAAAAATAAAATTACAAAAAATTATATTTGAATCAAAATATTTTTAATTAACTAATTTTCACACAATTTTACAATTATCCTCTCTCGATAACTCTAATTAAAAAATTTTTCAATCTTTAATCTAAAGCCTTAAAAATTTTCTCTCTCTATTAAAAATACTTCCGCACCACAAAAAAAAATTTTTTTTCGTATGTCTTTAAACCAAAAATGATAATTTAGAAAAAATAGCTATAAAAATTAAATAAAGAGAGAACAAGCAACAAGCAATCCCTCCTCCTCCCCTTCCTCAACCCCCTCCCTTCTCTTCCCCCTCCCGCTCCCCCTACCCTCCAAATCACTTTTCTTTAAAGAAAATATATTCTCCCCCCCCCCCCCCCCAAATATTTTTTTCAAAATTTTTCTAATCACACAACCAGTTTTATATATTTTTTATCATTTTTAATATGTGAAGCAAAAATGAAAAATTTTGCGAATATTCACGCAAAAACTGATAAATTTTTATTTTAATAAAACTAAAAATATAGCAAGAGAAAAGATAGACCATAGAATGAAAATTAAAAAAAATAAAAATTAAACAGAAAATTAATAAAAATAAATTTCTAATCAAATATAGAGGTGGATTTGTGAATTTTGTTAATTTTTTCTCTCAATGATTCCATGTTGATTTCGACGCGGAGGAATCAAAAGAGCTACAAGTTAGCTATATAGTTGACAAAAAAATTTTTTGTAGATTTTTTTAAAAATCCCCCAGATTCAGGTTAAAATCAACAATGAATCAACAGAAGAAAAAAAAACGATTTTTGAGATTTAAAATATATAAGTATAGAGAAAAAAATCTCCAAAAAATTTAGAAAAAAAAATAGAGAAACGTAAAACTTAAAAAAAAACTCCTCCCAACTGTTGATAAATTAAAGTAGTAAAAAACATTTGATGCTATGAAAATAGTTCAAAAATTAATTTTTCAAAAAAGAAAGATAAACTTTAGTTTTTGGTCAAAAGATTAGTATTAAGTAGGAGGGTAATTAGGCGGAGCAAAAACTACAGAAAAAAAAAACAAAAGAAAATACAAATTGTAAAACATGTTGGAAAGAAAGTTTTTAAAACAAATAAAAGAGAGTTGTAAAACAAGTTGAAAAAACATTTGATAAAAACAAGCAACAAGTTGAATTAAAAACAAGTTGTAAAACATGCCGAAAAACAAGTTGCAAAACAAGTTGAAAAAACATAAGAAAAACATCAGAAAAACATTCAATAAGAACAAGTTGTAAAACAAGTTGGATTAAAAGTACAAATTGTAAAAATAAGTTGTAAAACAAATTAAAAAATACAAAAGAGAAAAAGTTGAAATACGAAAAAAATACAAAAATACAAAAAGAAAATACAAGCTGTAAGAGAGACAGATAAATTTTTAAAAGCTACTAAGTACCTCAAAGATAAAATATTTTAAAAAATTCACAATTTAACAAAAAAGTGCTTAAACAAACAAAAAAGGCAAACTTTAAAAAAATATTTATCTAAAAAATTATTGAGGGCACAAACAAAAAAATAATTAAAGTCGTGTAGCAGTAGCAGTAGTGGTAAAAGGGGGTAAGTGTAACGGTGATAAACACCCAACCACTAATATATTTTCAAAAAAAACTACGGTAAATTGGAGAGGAAAGCTTCAATAAAAAGGAAAAAAAATTAAGAGAAGGAAAGGGAAAAGTTGTTGGTTATTTCCCCTCCTTTTTTGTATTTATGTGTGCGCGACACAAGACATTTATTTATATTTTTATCAAGGCTGGCAGCAGAGGAAAGAAGAAAAAAAACAAAATTATTATTATTATTATTATTAAAGTAGAAAGAGACACGTTCGTGGTTAGTTAGTGGTTATTATTACCTATTTAAAGGTAAAAAAAATTAAAAAAACACAAGCAATGGCACGAACAATGGCACGGAAAAAACTAAGCAATGAAGGGAAGAAGAAATTATGGTGAGTGTTTTTAATATAAGAAATTACAAAAAAATAATAAGAATGTTAATTAATAAATGAATAAATAAAATGTAAATTAGTAGGGAAATAAAGGGTAAAATAATAATAATATTATTATTGAAGCAAAACTTAAATGTTTGTTTTGAATATGAAAATTGTAAAAACAAAGAAGAGAGTATTGTAAAACTTAAAAAGAGAATTGTAAAAAGAAAAAGAGAATTGTAAAAACAAGTTGGAAAAACAAAAGAACAAACAATTAAATTAAAACAAACTTGAAACAAAACAACAATGACAACAAAACAACAAGTTTTTAACAAGTTTTAAAACTTTAAATTAGAAACAGTGTTTGGAAACAACAAAAACATTCTGTTTTGTAAAAAGAAAGTTGTTTAATTGTACGATGTTGTTGTTCTTTTGTTTTTCCAACTTGTTTTACAATTCTCTTGTGTTTTTACAATTCTCTATAGTTTTTACAATTCTCTTTTGTTTTAAAAGAAAATTGTATCAGACACAAGGTGTTGCTTTTAGTTTTTAAAAATTTAGAAGCAAAAAATACTGTAAAGCAGAAAGGAAATATATTTCCTTTTATCCGTTGAAGAATATTAATAATGCATTAATTGGAAAATGTTCGCGCATTTTATTCCTTTTTTTAATATTTTATATATGGCAGCAGACTATTAAGTATATTTAATAATATGCCTGATATATCCATTTTAGTCTTGTATAAAAATAAAAAATTAACAAAAAAATTAAAAAAATTTTTTAAAGGTTAAATGGTTTTGGAACAGAAAACATTTTTTAATATCCAGCCATGTACTAGCTGTTTTTTTAAATAAGGAAAAAAATAAAAAAGGCAATTTTTATAAAAGCTTTAATAGGGGAAACATTTTTAGATAACCAAAAAAATATTTTAATAGTCAAAAAATTTTTTTCTATAAATAAGAACGGAAGTAATTGAACGAATGAATTTATAAAATAAAAATATAAAAATAGAAAATTTTCAAAAAAATTTTTTTTGAAAAAATAAATAAAAATATTTTTTAAAGTTGTTGCAACAATTAAAGAAATATTCTCCTCTAGAGAAAAAAAAATTTAATAAAATAAAAAAAATTATCAAATTTATTGCTTCATTAACCAATTATATATATTTTCCAAGGTTAATTAATTTTACAAAAAAAATGAAAAAAAATTATAAACCCGGAACTTTTCTTTAAACCAAAAAATCCCCCACTCAAAAAATAGTTGTTTTAACTATCCAGTTTTTTTAAAAAAAGGAAAAAAATAAAACAAAAAAATAAAATAAAAAATGGCTAGCAGCAGCTCTAGAGTAAAAGCAGCTCTTCTTGTTTCATTGAAAAAAAAACCTCCCAACCCCCAAACAAAAAAATGGGAGGAGATAAAAAAAATATAAAAAGAAGGATGGTGGAAAGAACGGTGGAAATAACAAAAAAAAATTTTTTCAAGAGAAAATAGAAGTAGTAGAAGGAAGAAACAGAAAAGGAGGAAGAGGTCGTCGACGTCCGTCTTCATCGTCTTTAACTACCTTGCCTCCTCTGCTTTCCCCCATTTTTTTATTAATAGTGGTTGGTTGGAGAGAGGGTTGGTTGGTTGGTTAGTTGTTGGGGTTCCTTGTTTGTCACACACAAACACAAACACACAAATAAAAACTGGCTGGTTATACACTCTTAAAAACTACGATATAGAGAGAAGCCTTTAAAAAAATAGCAGTTAGAGCTGTTTTTTCGCCCTTTTTTGCTGACAGCCGTTTTTTCCTTGCTTGTGTTCTCTCATCCATTTTAAAGAGAAAAGTCTGTCATGTCACTGACAAAAAATACACCCCTCGAAGCAAAACTAACTAACGACTACGACGACTAAAAGTATTGATTAGTGGCGCACA